AACCCTAAATTCCTTCAGGTCAGACTAACATTAATTTCGTCTCAACCGTATGTGTTCCCTCACACATTATTGCATTATAAGAAAGATGCATTGCCTTTTATTATATGGTTATAAAATTAGAGCAGTTAAAAATGACGTGGAGAAGAGGTCCTCCTGAAACTGGTTAAGAAATATTAGAAAACTTTAAGGAGTTTTGCATATCACGTAGCCTAGTTTGTTTTTCTGATAAGCATAACGGCCTGAAAAAGTTGTTCGTATACTTAAACAAAATTAGTTCGACGTTATAGTGAAACTTTACAAAGCCCTTATACTAAAAATCCTCTTTGCTGATAGCTAAACTGTAAAAGGCAATAATGTAAGTGTTCGTTTTGAATTTATTAAAGTGATTCGCTTGATGCTCACTCAAAAGAAGCAAGCAGAGACGGAAGGTTGATTTACAGGTGTTAGGATGAAAAAGCGCTGATTTTGGTGGCCTAATAAACTTTTAAAAATCATTATATCATATTTGACTGCAAGAATCCCTGATTAAATGGGGGATACAAATATTATAATACTGTATAAACCGCATCAGGAGGAAGCTCCTACGCCATACGTGCATCGTGAAAAGGTTTTCTTTATTTTGCTTATACAGCATGTTTATTTATGTTCATTTAACTTATACCAATAGTTTTATCATTTCTACTCGATTCTGCAAAAGGGGCTGAATTCCGAGTGGTCAAAAAAGTGCAATAAACTTTTCTAAACTAATAAATTAAGCCAGCGATTACTGTTAAGTTTTAAAGTTTACAGGCTAGATTGTTTTTATTGACATGTCTTTTTGTACTGTCTAAACGCTTTTCTGGTGTGCGTCACGTTAGTGAGTGAATCGTATTCTCGTGCTCTGCGTATCCAAACTTTTTTGAAAAGTGCACCAAACGTGTTTTTGCGTGGACAGAATGGCACGATGTAGCTGCAAAAGGCTTTCCTTTCTCTCATTTGCTTTTCGCCCCATTATCTACTGTTCCCAACGTTTTACAACTCCACTGTTCACCAAACATGCCTTCTATATTTTCCAGAAGATGTTAAACTGCTCAGACTTGCGCATTTAAACGATCCCACTGTTATTTATGTACAACTTTGTGTTCTTGCGTTTGTGCACAGGGCAGGACAAAACTTGAGGCATCCATCGTGTCAGGTACGGAGGGAGAAATGAACGGCTCGAAATCGAATCACAGAACGTTCCCAAATGGGGTTGCTTGTGACGTCACTGTCTTCGTAAGTTCATTCTTTCCGTCACAGCCCTTTGCGAGAGCGGCCTCTGTTTATGTCATTGTCTGTCATTAAGCGTTTGAAACTGCAGCAGGGACAGGATTTTTTTTTGTAGATTACTCAGTATTACAAGGTTTTAAGCGTTGAAGGTTTTCTTTGTTATTTTTATCCCTATCAAACTGTTGTATTCAACGGGTTCGGGCCTGTGTAATGTCTTAAGTGCTCTGGATGCAGTTTTTACAGTTAAGCAGTCTGAAAGTTACTAAAGTGTGGCACCCTATATAGTGTGCATCAGGCAGGGGCGGTTCTATGGGGGGCCAGACAGGGGCCACTTGTGCTTTTAGGGGGCACAATTTTAAAATTCATCTTAACCTACTTTAAGTATTATTCATTCAGTCATTTTTCACCGTCATGTATCACTGCAATCTCTAGAAGTAATCTATAACAATTTCAGCTAAAATGAATGTTTCATCATGTTTCATTTATTTGACAAATAATTTTGTATTGTAGTGTCAGGGGCATCATTTTTGAGGGGGCACGAGTGAAGGGGGGGAGGCTCTCATGCTTGTCACGTGACACACAGCAGCCCCAATACCACTGTACAACTGATATAGGCTTATGTCCCTACTGAAAAAAACCAAACAATAAAACCATCACAGAAAATTGTAATGGTTTCCACAACAAATAGCATTACAAACCATTAACTTTTAACCATTAAAACCTTAAAAAAAATGTTTTCTGTAGTGTGTTTTGGGACATATTCCATTAGGATTTATTGGTTTTAACAAGCCACCAATAGAAGGCAACCAATTACCAGTAGAGACCAACAGGGTCCATTACAGTTTCCAGTAAAACCAATACAAGTCCCATTATAACCCGTAAAACCATTACAAATTTTGTAATGGTGTCTATTGTTTTTTTCAGCAGGGATTTTATTATAATTTTTTTTTTTATTCAAAATATTCCCAGAATATATCATGAAATCTCGATTCTCAAATATGTGTAAGTAAATGCATTTTGCGCCTTTATAGATTATGTTAGGTGATCTATAATGGGCGATGGGCAAAGTAGCCTAATAGTGTAATCTATTAACTTTGCATAAAAATCCGTCTTTTTACTTAAGTACCAGACATGGGTGACATAAAATATTTTTAATTTGACTGACTTTGTATTTAATGTCAATTTAATAAAAACATTGCAAGTTACTAATTAGCCTATAACACTTTCATTGTACAAAAAGAGAGCAAAGAACGTTTACATTATCAAAGAACATTTTCACTTCAGTCCAGCGAGTTCAAGCACTCTCAAAAAGTCCCATAATAATCTCTAAAGCTGTTTACACTGTGAAATTAATATCTTACTTACATTCGTACATCTTCACTTTGTTGTTTCTGATGAGAGAATTAGTCAGAGAATTCAGTCAGCCAGCGCTGTTTCAGCGATGACTCATCTGAAGGCCTCTGATTGGTCCTTGCATTTATAAGCTCAACAGAATCGTATGTGATTGGTTATAATGCGCAGTGCTTTAAAAACGTGTGTGTCCAGCCAGCGAACGCAGATTTTTTAATTTAGCAGCTGGTGATGTTTTTCTTTTATATATATATATGTGTGTGTGTGTGTGTGTGTGTGTGTGTGTGTGTGAGACCGCCCCTGGCATCAGGACAATTACATGGTCATTTAAAAGTCATTCTTTTAGTTTAACATGTAAGAATTATAAGTTTTGATAGAAAAGCTTATGAAGACTTGTATTGGTATTGCTTGTTATGGAAAATACAGCATGTTTTTTTCTGTAGTGAATTGGATCACTGCTCTGGTTCATGTTATATATTTATGATTAATACACCTTAAATATTTATTGCACAATTAGCTAGAAAGCAAATACATTCTCACAAGTATAACTGTACTTGATATGTGCATAAACACATACACACACAGATACACACGCACTGATTTCATATCTGTATGCGTATGTAGATAGTTTTAAAAATAAAGATATTTCAGTGTTTTTTAAGTATACAACAAAAGGCCCTAAAATATTTGGGAGTTTTTGTGTATGTTTTCAGCTCTACTTGCATGCTGATACTTATATTACACAGACTTGTATTGCCTTAGTCTTAAGTGAAATGACCACTGAAGTTATATGAGCGTTCAGTTTGAGCTGCAAAATATAAAAAACGAAGCTATGTATGTTGAAAAAGTGATATATGCATTTGCTTATCAACAGTTTTAGTTTTCTGTGGAGTTAAAGATCTTTGTGTGTGATTTTCAACAGTATTTTAACAGCATTGCTCATTGCAGGTTGGTTTAGAATAATATGCAAGGATTCAAGCATTGTTTTTTAAACTGAAAAAATATAAATGTATCATAAAAATATTTATCACCGACAAAGTAAGGGGCAGTTATTAACACAGGCTGGACGGTACGACAGACTCTAGAAGATAAAATTAGCCAAGCTTTTAAAATTAGCCAAGTCTTTCTTTTTTTTAAGAATTAATGTCACAGTATTGTCTGATTTGGTTTTTAAACACTATAAACTGTTTAAACCTCCCAGCAGAAATTTCACGGCATGACGTTGAGATGCTGACAAACAATCTGAGAAAAAGAGTTTTAATACAGATTTTGAAAGGAATAGTTACAGATTACTGTACTATATAATCATAAATACCATTTTGTACATTTTCTGTATATAAATCATATTTAACAGAAAATATATTACATTTTTTAGTGAAGCTAGAGATGGATTGCAGCACCGGCTACGATGGGCTATTTTCATTTAACAGTTTATTTAAATTGCAGATTTAAACACTTATCAAAATCAATATTTTTGTTATAATATCTCATATTTATTTATATTGTTTTTTTATACCTGTAGTCTGAGATTTGAAATGCGTTCAGATCTCACCAGCACTAGACGTAGCTACTTTTTTTTTCTCAGAGAGAGACTTTAGTCATGGCTATACTGTATGAGTTTTATATGTCTCTCCCTTTTAAGAATTAATTCAAACAAACACATTTATTGATAACATAGCTATGGGTTTCTTAATTGATTAACTGGGTGAGCAAAAGATGTCACCCGGTTTTCTCACCCAGTCACTTTTAGCTTATTTAAGATGCACATCTCCAAGAAAAGGCCCTATTGTTCAATGTTAGATTTAACTTGTGTTTGCTTTTTTAAACAAATAATGTGCAATTTTTTTTATTTATTTTTTTTTATTCTCTACTTTATCTAAACGGTATTGAGTTCTTTTTAACACTCACACTTCATGTTAAACTATTAATAACCACAATCTATATTAAACTGAAAAGCATCCCAAACAGATCATTTATAACTTCCATTACCTATTATGATTAAAAATCTGATGTTGCCGTTATTAAACACGTTTTTTTGTCACGGAGCACACTGTTTTTTCATGTTGTTCACTGTTTTACCCTTTTTTCTCCTCAGCTCATCCCCTCTGGTCTCTCTCAACGTATTATTTTTCAGTCTGAGGAGGACATGTCGTGTCAAAAACATGTTCTTTAATCTCCTCACATTTCATTATGATACACCCAATAACATTTAAAGCCTTTTCACCTTATTCTTCGACTTTCCTAAATTGTTTGCAAAATGACATGATGTAGATTTTAAACTTTAACCGTCATTTTAATCAGTCCACAGGAACAGGATGCCAACATTAACCTGCCGTAATAACAAATAACATGGACTAACAAGAGGAATATTTGCATATATGCCCCCCCCCCCTGCCCTTTTCAAAAGTGGGATGTGAAGCCGAACTGACTGTGTTTCTCATGGAAGGGGAGTAACGGCTGACAGGAATGGAAGATGTCGGAGGGAAAAGAAGGGGTTTACCAATAAACAAGGTATCAGCCGACACCTATTTAGACCCAAAAACATCTACAGGGAAGCATGGGAGTATCCGGCACTCGAATGAGTTGTAATGCAAAACGCACTTTCTGTCCCATGACATCTATTCACACCTTAGGCTTTGCTGATGGGTGAAACTCCGTGACCCGCAAATCTTGACTGATCAAATGTGTAACTGAAGAAATCATTTTGCAAACGTGAATCAGTTCCAGAGAATGTTCAAAAATAGTAATTCAGAACACTAAAGTGTGATAAGATATGATAAGAAAAGAAGCAGAATTCAGTTTTTTTTTTAGCATGTGATGTCATAAAATCACCTTTAGAAATGTAAAAATCGTTCTCTTTGTCAAGAAATCAAGTAAGCAAAATCTTCAGTCCTCACATTCCGTCGTGTTTTTGCATGCTTGCATCGTCTGCTCCGATTGAAATGTCTTCCAAAAGAGAAATTATCCTTATTACATGTGTTAAAAGAAAAAGAATAAGGTTTTTAATGGTCGCTGATCATGTATAAAATGTTGAAAAACAATATAGATGTGACAGGTCAGGTCTGATAGTGACGTGAGGAAAGTACAGGCTCCGACGGCACATAAAAAGATGACGATGTACAGAGGGAAGCACTTATTATATTATTGCAGTCTTGCTGACCAAAATAGATTATATATATATATATATATATAAAAAATACAGCTAGTTATTTTAAACAGCTAAACATTTGAAATGTATTAATCAGTGTTGTCAAACTATTAAAACCAGCAATCCAGAAGAGATGTATCAAAAACAGAGGCATTGCACAAAAATGTTGGCTGAACAAATTAGTTACAAATAATACAATATATTTGTTGAAGTGAAAGCAATACATATTTACCTGTATATCTGTATAAATTTGGTATTTCACAGTTTTTAATGATACATCGACTAAACTGACACTAAACGAGGATTAAAATGCTTAGTATGTATTTTATCTGACATTTAGCTGTTCTTCTTTAGTAATGCAAAAACCTCCATTAAAAATAAGACAAACAACTTAGTAGAAACTAGTTTTATACTAATCATATGGAAAGTAACAGAAACCAGTGAACTAATCCTGATATTGATACTTAACGTACTATATATTGTACCCCTTAACTAGTATGTACTGAGAGAAGTATGGAGGGTCTCAGGAAACACATTTGACCATAGTGATGTTGTTTTTATGACTGTCATGAGCAGATTTTTGCATTGTCACTCAGTTTCACCCTAGACTTTGAGGTAGTATGCACATTTTTAAGCCGTTACATGAGTTTTTAAAGGCTTGTGTGAGTCGTGTGTGTTTTTTTGTTTGTATATGAATGTAGAGCCAGCAGACTGAGCAGACTGACATATAACCACATTAGACGTACAAGCACGTAACCTCGGACAGTAGTACTTGATGCACTAGATGTCAGAATGCTTTGTGGATTGTGGATGTGTGTGTAAGATGTCTTGTGTGTGTATGTATACGTCTGTTAGAGAATGTAAAGGCAGATGTGTGTGTTTCATCAGTGGGAGATGGAGTGCGTGTGTGTGTGTGTGTGTGTGTGATTGTGTATCAGCAAGAATGCATAAGAAATGTGTGTGTTTGTGTTAGTTTAATGTGTCTGTGTGTGTAAAACTTTATCTGTTTAAAAGTATGCATACATGTGTGTATTAGTTGCGGTGTGTGTATGCAAATACACCATGGTAAAGTGATGTGTGCACCAAAATGAGCGCAAAAGGAATGTGTGTGTGTGTGTGTGTGTAAGTATTAAAGAATGCATTATTTTAATACATTTACGTGTGTAGCAAATATCTTGTGCACATTTATGCATATATATTGTGTAAATCTTCAAGAATATGACAGATAAAGCGAGTGTGTGTGAGTCTGTGTGTGTATTAATGTGAATGCATGGTTATGTGTATGTGTCAGAATGCTTTGTATTATTATTTTAAGGTGAGTGTATGTTTATACGTTCGAATTCATGCACAGATATGCATGTATAGGTGAGAGTGTGTGTGTGTGTGTGTGTGTGTGTGTGTGTAAAGTTGTGTACAAACAAAAATTGCTTGTGAGTGTATATCAGAAAGCTTTGTATCATTATCACAAGTCCTCTATGTGTGTGTGCAAAATGTTTTGTGTGAATAAGAACGTACATATGAGTGAGTGTGTGTGTTTTTTTCAATTGTACTGACAATATAAGTGTTTGTGCTTATTTACGTACCTAGAAGAGCACACATGGATGTGTGTGTTTGTGTTGTAAGGCTTTATGTGATTGTTTTGAGGCCCTAAAACCGCTTGTGCGTGAATGCATGCATATATGAGTGTGTAAATGCGAGTGTGTGTGTAAATATGCACAGAATGCTTGTGTATGATTGTTTGCGCACATGTAGAGAGCTGGATGTGTGTGTACGTTAGTGAGCACATGGCCGAGAGGTTGTGAAACATATGCGTGAGCTTTGAGAAAGAGACGGCAGGCCAGATGAGCCGAAGACATGCAGTTATAAAGTACTGTATAATTTAGTTACACTTATATTTATTCGATTTTAGTTTTGTAAATATATTTGATGCACATCTTATATTTAAGTGTTTAGTAAGCAAACATGCGTACTTTACAAGTAAATTTGCTACATGTAAGCTTCTTTTATTAAATAAAATGACGCTGAATAATTTTAAGCATTGTAATTTTAATCTAAAATACAGATTTACTTTACTTTAGTAGTTCACAGCAGTTTTGCTTCAAAATATATTAATTTGAACAAATTATGTATTGTAGATGTTTAAGAAAGGAACTAACATAGACTTTTAAATCACTGGCATTTGTACAGATGTGATTAAAATGAAAAGGCTATTTGAAATCTAATCAAATCTATGAGATGAACAAGGATGAAAGTGGACATGATACATGTGGATGTGCATGAAGAAATATGACATTTGACTGTATTTGCATCTGTGGTGCATGTGTGTGTGTGTGTGTGTGTGTGTACAGAAGCATGTGTGACAATGTTTGTGAGCAGAAAAAAATATACAGTATATTGTTGAAGAAAACACCATAAACAAATATGTATATTGCTGTAAACGATCCTAAATCACTACTGATGGATAAAATCATAAATCTTCATCTGTTTTTGCATGCTTTCTCTTTCAACCCCATCTAGCGTGGCAAAGGCCTCAGCCGTGAGAATACCGTGGTGAAGTCCTAGGGTTAATCATCTGATCCACAACATTCACATGTCAGAGGGAAAAATTAAAAGGTATGTGGCATTTTTTCAGTGTCTGTTTTTTTTTTTTTCTTTGCCAGGTAATGTGACCTGCATCAAGCTGACAGTATAGCCTATGAATGTGCCTATATATATGTTATAGAGAAAAATAATAATTTTCAGTTTATAAATGTACTATAAACTGTTGGATAAAATATTATATTTTATGAACGAGCAGTAGTTGTGATAAAAACTTGAAATATGTGTTTTAAAAATGTATTTTAGTGCAATATAATGCCATCAATGTTTTTTTTTAGATGATACATAAATTATGCATGATTGAGAGGATATTACCTTAATAAACACTAAAACATGCTTTATTTTTTCCCCCAATAGGATGAAAATCTGGGAAAACTTTACCTTGTATCCTGCACACAAGATCAACGTCAAACCAAGGTCTGTTAGACTGCTTTACACCTGTAAATGGATATTCAGCAAGTTGATAACTTTGTAGGAACAACATAACACCGTCAGGTATTTGCAATATTTGTCTGTAAACTACTTGGGGTTTAATAAATGAGCTTAACTTGCTTACGTTGTCACGTGCAGACGTCTGTAACGTCTGAGACGCATGAGCTGTGAGACGTAAGGGAATATGAAAATGATGTAGTACGTATTTAAGCTTTAAAAAGATAAATATAAAAACCATGTGTAGATACATTTGTAGTAATTATTCACCTGAATGAGAGAAACTGTCTAGAGACGAGATGCACACGAGCGTTTGTGTTGAATTGTGTTGTTTTAATTCTCAAAGACGTGAGGGCAAACGCAGTCTGATTTAATCGTATTTGTTCTAATTAAATAATAGCCTATATGTAGCTTGAAATGGATTTGTTGTGACTGTGATAATAAGAACGTGTGCGTAGCGAACGTAGGAAACGACTGCGTCTGTCGACGTGTGTGAAAATTACAGACGCGAGTTTTTTTTAGCTTGTGGTGCTTTATAATTGTGAGGGTTACATATTTGTGAGATCCTAATAGTTTGTTATATGAAGCTGTAGACAGTTGAACGGAGAGTTTTAGCTGCCAGGCGCTCGCTGTCCTCTGCATGTGCTGCTGCTGATGTATCACTCGCACGGCCGGCTGAGCTTAGAACTAAAGATGATGCTGTTTTTATACGTTCTTTCGCGAGATATGTTTATTATATTGTATACATGTAATTAGGTTTCATAACTAGTGTTTAGGGAGCATTTTGAGCACAGTAAATGTGAACTATGAGTTGTTGGAATTACCAAAGGGTCAAAGGGGGCTGGGTAGTGCAGAAAGGGGGAGAGATAAATATGTTTAAATTAAAGAATAAAGATTATAGGCGTCGAGTTATTCTTAAGATGTCAGTGGTAGATCAGTGAGCGTCGAGGACTGACTGAAAGCTGGAATGTATAATGTGTTACGTGAGAGGAAACGTGTGTGTGTGTGTGTGTGTCAGAGAGAGAGAGAGACTGTATGTGTCTGATCTCGAACATTTTATGTTTTAAGGTTTGTCTAAGTAAAAGATAATTAAGTAAAATATCTACATTTCGCATCAGTTATTAAAGTATTATTTTGTAGTATAATAAAACTACTTGGGGTTTAATAAATGAGCTTAACTTGCTTACGTTGTCACGTGCAGACGTCTGTAACGTCTGAGACGCATGAGCTGTGAGACGTAAGGGAATATGAAAATGATGTAGTACGTATTTAAGCTTTAAAAAGATAAATATAAAAACCATGTGTAGATACATTTGTAGTAATTATTCACCTGAATGAGAGAAACTGTCTAGAGACGAGATGCACACGAGCGTTTGTGTTGAATTGTGTTGTTTTAATTCTCAAAGACGTGAGGGCAAACGCAGTCTGATTTAATCGTATTTGTTCTAATTAAATAATAGCCTATATGTAGCTTGAAATGGATTTGTTGTGACTGTGATAATAAGAACGTGTGCGTAGCGAACGTAGGAAACGACTGCGTCTGTCGACGTGTGTGAAAATTACAGACGCGAGTTTTTTTTAGCTTGTGGTGCTTTATAATTGTGAGGGTTACATATTTGTGAGATCCTAATAGTTTGTTATATGAAGCTGTAGACAGTTGAACGGAGAGTTTTAGCTGCCAGGCGCTCGCTGTCCTCTGCATGTGCTGCTGCTGATGTATCACTCGCACGGCCGGCTGAGCTTAGAACTAAAGATGATGCTGTTTTTATACGTTCTTTCGCGAGATATGTTTATTATATTGTATACATGTAATTAGGTTTCATAACTAGTGTTTAGGGAGCATTTTGAGCACAGTAAATGTGAACTATGAGTTGTTGGAATTACCAAAGGGTCAAAGGGGGCTGGGTAGTGCAGAAAGGGGGAGAGATAAATATGTTTAAATTAAAGAATAAAGATTATAGGCGTCGAGTTATTCTTAAGATGTCAGTGGTAGATCAGTGAGCGTCGAGGACTGACTGAAAGCTGGAATGTATAATGTGTTACGTGAGAGGAAACGTGTGTGTGTGTGTGTGTCAGAGAGAGAGAGAGACTGTATGTGTCTGATCTCGAACATTTTATGTTTTAAGGTTTGTCTAAGTAAAAGATAATTAAGTAAAATATCTACATTTCGCATCAGTTATTAAAGTATTATTTTGTAGTATAATAATACAAAAATAACAGTGCACTGTGTTTGATTATTTGTGCCTTACGTGTCTTTTCTTTTTATTGCTTTATAAGTATAATATTTTTATGCTTTGCTGTTATTGTTTATCATATAACCCTATGTGCTTAACATTTGAGCTGAATTGAGTAAAATGAGTAACGTGTGGTTGCTGCAGTGTGCACAACGTAAGGACATAACGTGTGAGTTCTGCACTTCTGTGTCATTCTGCATAGTGCACTGAGAAAAACATGCTGCATTAACTATTCGACCCTGAGTAATTGTTTAGCTATTTTATTACATGAAGCAAACTCTACATGTGGTGTGAGAAATATATGGTGTGATTTCGTTGCAAAATCTAAAAGCTGGAAGTTTGTCGTTCACGTGACAAAGTTATGAATCGCGTATGTTGTAATCAAACTGCTTGCTTTCTGTATTCCCTATCCCATGTTAGAGAAAATAAAATGTTTGTTTTTATTTTAGAGTCTGCTTGCTTATTTGTCTGTTTTAAGTGTGGGGAAATCTGGAAAATTCACACTATTTTGTGACATTGAAAACGTTTTGTGTGTGTTAAGAGCCTTTCGGATACAAAAAAAGACAAAAGGTAGCATGAGGGGGCAATACATTGAGAAAAAGGCTTCCACGGTGAGAGTATCTTACAATTAAAAATACAGACATTAAAATGTTTTTTCATTACGACTCCAATGCTTTTTTTCTACTAAACAGTGTGTGGTTTACATGTTGCATGTGTTACTTGAATTGTTCACGTATCGGTGGGCTTATATTTTAGGTTAAGTTTCGGGTCGTGAGTGAAGCGAATGGCGACAGTGGACATGGATGTGTTCGAGTGATCCAATGTGTGCTAGTCTTACTGAATGTCAAGCTGACAAGCTAGGCACGAGCCAAGAGCAAAACATCCGACTGACGCGAGTTTCGCCGCTTACATGTATGCATGTGTAAGTCGATTAAAAATGTGTTTCACAACAGTTTACGCTTTATTTTCACAGGTTGCTCAGCTGCATATCTACTACGTGCCTATGTTTACATAACCATCCTCTCTTCCGCGTTATTTGCGCCGAGAGTTCTCGCGATATTTCGGCGCAGCGCTGTGTGGTAATTGTAGTTCCATGTGGAGGATGTTCACCGTTTGAATGAATAGAAATAATAAGCTTGTCTACATTATAAAATAAGCAGAGTTTGCCAAAATAACGCTGTTCAAATAATCTTATCTTAGGCTATATACACTATTCACGGTGTAAAATATCCATTGCTTCCCATCCAATGACGTATCGCTTGTTACTATGTAGAACTGGTGGATTTTTATTGGTGCTTATGTATTAATTATAATTATAATTATAATTAATTGTGTTATAGAAACACTGCGTCCCCAACACACCCAAACACGTGTAAAAATGCTGTCAAATATGACTCATGATACAAGGTTAATTAATATCATGTAATTTTGGCTTAGTTTTTGCTTGGTTATGTGTATATCCATAATATACAGCAAAGCATTTATGTACTGTATGACTCTGTATGTATCGATGTATGTATAAATACGATGTCTTTGCAATATTCAAAATACATGAATGGTTTTTATTTTGTGTCTCACACTGTGAAAACAAGCGGAATGTGTGTTCACGCGGTTTTCTTTTATTCACGAACGTTTTATGTGCTTTTGGAAACGCAAACATGGTCAGGAAAATGGAAAATTGACTCATACATGTGCCTATTGAGCTAAAATGCAGCAAATAAGCTTGCCCGTCTTTTTTTTCCCAAAGTATGACTCATTGGTGTGACAGCGCCGGTGAATGAATGTGACTGGCGTTCATGTCGACAAATAGACTCTCACTGACTGCTCAGCAGGGGCGGGACAACAGGAGCCCTCGTGGCCAATGAGCAACAAACTTCATTCATAAAATAGTGTGGGGGGTGATCGTTGGAAGCGTGGGTTTGGAGGTTTCGTAACGCTGACTGAAACAGAAAAACCCGTTCTGAATCACAACCAATGACATTATTTGAATGTAGGTTACCGTAATGTTTGTCCAATCGCTTCTCACTCAGAAGAGTTTTCGGTCCGCCCCATTGAAACAGGCAACCGAATGAATGAGAATGGGCTCTTTGTGATTGACGCGCACAACAGCCAATCAACGGTAAGTTGCTGTTGACGGACGCGAGTTTCGGCCAATCAACGATGGACGTGGGCTCGCATGGGCGGCGACGGAGTATGTGGGAGGTGTGCACTTAAATCTGGATAGACTAGTATGTTAGAGGAGTTGTAGGGGTGTGATGCCACAACCTGCTTATAAAGGGGCGCACACATTGACGCTCTAAAGCAGTGCATAACGACTAATTTTGCGGGTCATTCACCACGCACAGCCAGCCGTAGACATGGAGTCGTTTAACGTGGTGGAGACGCTACAGCCTGCCGAGAGAGCGCTCTTCTGGGTCGGTGCACTTACCACGGCCTCGCTGGCGCTGTGGCTGTTGTACAAGATCATCACTGGCTTTAGGATATGGGTGCTGGGAAACGGGGATTTACTCTCTCCCAAATTGGGAAAATGGGCAGGTAAGTTGAACGACATGCGTTGGGAATGAGAGCTGGTGCTGGCAGGACATGGGTGGGATGAATGTAGTGCGCATTTGGCGCAGCCTTAAACTAAATAAAGATGAACTTCATGGATTTGGAGGGGGGGGGGGGCTAATAATTTCAACTTTTTGCGCAGCAGATGTAACGTTAATTGAAAACATTTTTGTCAGCGTTTACTCAGAGCGAATGTTTGTATCACTCGCACACATTTGTAATCGTTAAGATCAAGCAGACTAATTGAGGCATTAGTATTTTATGCGTATGGTCAATGGAGGCGACGTGTGTCTCAGGTTGACTGATTGCGCCATACGTTCATATATTCTGCGCAGATAGCATGTCACTCTGAGTCATTCAGGTATTTCAGCCTGACATTTTTAAATACGATATATTCGGTCAAATATATGAAAATAGACTAATTGGATTAAAGTTTAGAGTTGCAAATCATTCTCAAATCTTGTATTTTATTTCAAACGCTTATTTTCTTTTTATTATTATTATTGTTGTTATTATTATACAACCTTTTTTCGGCTGTTTATCATTTTTCGCATTTCAAGTTTTTCCTGAATCGTATGTGCCTGGCCTGACCCAGTTAACGTTATCCAGTTTCGCGGCTGCGCTTGCCGATGTGCGTCCCGACAAACGCGCTTTTTCCCGTCGCTTTGGCAGTTTCGTGGGTAAAATGCGGCTTAAGCAGATGTCTTTTTGGCCGGTGTTGTCCGCTTCATCCCCTCACTGGGGCACTGAGGTTGGTTTTGGCAACATGACGCAGTTTAAAACGCCAATCTTACTTATAATGCGGGTCCATACCACGTGCGGCATGTGAGGGGAGACTTGTGTGTGAGTAAATGTTCAAAAGCCTCACGTACAGCGCGAAGATTTGCTCTTGACGCAATCGCACTTGCAATACTGTTACTTCAAAACTCATCACACTGTTAAAGATTTTGAAATGGCTCATCATGCCTAGTCTTTCACTGCCTATGATGTTGCCTAGGCAGCAGGTGCACTAGCGGTCAGCTTGGGTAGTGCACATGCAAAGCGATTTGAGGGTCGCAGTATTTTTCTGTAGAGTGCGATGATTTTATTTATTTAAAATAAAATGTATTTATTTATAAACGATGGGCTGGAAGGCATCGCCGCTTAAAAGGTTTGAACTGACAACCCTTTAGGTTTTTGGGTTATTCTCACCTGTTAATAAAATGTTCATATTTCACTCCAAAAAGAAGCAATTATATTGTGAGTAAAAGCGACCATTTTTTTCCACCTCAAAGCCAATATTAACTATTTAACTGTTTGATATGCTTCATACAGCCAGTTACATCATCTGTGAAGAATGTTGTTCTGAATGCATGTCAAAGGTGGCTATTATTACCACATTTAGCGCCATTTAGCGATCAACACGATGTTTAAGAACCAATTAAATGTAAAAGTGGAAAATATTGGTAAATATTAATGACCAAACCAATTATAGGTCTTTTTAGAGCTCTAATTTTGCATTTTTATTGATAATTATTGGATATTTTTCCACTATGACATTATTTTTCAAGACAAACATATTTTGCCAACCTACTCCTATTACATTTAATATAAATTGATATTTTACTTGAACATTTATTTTGCTTTCCAATTATACACACAAACACACACACACAAAATAAATGGTCAAGTAAAATATCAGTAGAAAAAAAATACATGCATATGTGTATATATATGTGTGTGTGTATGTATACATGTCCTCCCAATCCTCTTGAATTAACCCTAAATGATCAAATACAGGTATAAACACAATTCAAATTCGGGGAAATTGTGGAGTGAAATATGGCCTGCACATTTTCCCAGCAGGTTTCGCAAGAATCACCCCTTTGCTCACTAGACGCCACCACTCCCTTTCATGTTTTGAGCTGTTTCCTTCGTACATTCTGTCAGTGTGATGTCAAATATGGAGGTGATGAATGCCACTCCCTGAAACTAAAAAAGCAGGGTACCAGTCAGACTCGTTCAGTTTAACGTGTGCCATAACTCACAGGTTGGAGGCGACTAAGTGGAGAATGGGAGGGGGAACTAGTTCCTCTTCCTGCCAATCCAGAAGCACAGGTCTTGTCAGGTTGAGCAAGAGTCTGTTTCCAGATCTCGAAACTCTTTCCACGTCGGTATGAATGCAGCTGTTTGTTCCTTGACACGTTTGCAGTCTCCCCCTCCTCTTCCCCTTCATCTTACAGACTCGTTCATTTGCATGTTGACCGTATGAGGTCACATAAAATGATGTTTTTTGAAGGTATAATGTGCTGAATTTGCAGTACCTTGAAGGTGAGTCATAAAGAGGAATGTATGAGGAAGAACCGAGAAGAAAGGCCCTGTGGTGTGTTCCTGTAGTAACCAGGCATTCCTCGACCGAGTCGCTTACGGGAGACCCCTGGTGTCTGTCTTGAGAACTGCGCCGCTATGGTAAAGGTTGTAAGTCAGTGGTTTAGTTATTGTGCATGATGTTCTTGCAGCAGTAGAAGCACAGGCTTTTTTTAGACCATTGTTATTAGTCAGATGTGGTTTCTCTCTCTCTCTCTCTCTCTCTCTCTCTCTGCATTATTAAATTATACATATTACTGAGGAAACCCAGGCAGCATTCTTTTATAAGGAATCACAGATGTGTTAATGAACAATATAATTTATTTAAATCTAGTATTAAAGCAATAGAATACTTTATTTTTAATAAAATATTGTGTATATTAATGTAATGTAATTTGTGCATATTATTCCACCTGAACTGAAAATAAATTTATTATTCATTTATGATTATCATAATTCTTTATTTTCGATAATTGCCTCATTTCGTTTTTTTTTATTTAGGGGTGACATATGATATGACTCAGACATGTTCTTGACAGGTTTAGTCACATTCCATTTTTCATCCCATTCAGACCTGCTATCGTGAGGCACGGCGTGTAGCATACGTTTAATTGGATCTCGTTGGCCACAATTTTAATTCGGTTTTAACCAGAGAAGGCACTATTTGCACTAATTTTAACCGTTTAGATGTCATTTTTCTTCTTTTTTTTTTCTTTTAAATTTTTGCAGTGTGCCAATATCAAGCACAGTCACAGTTCACAAAAAATGTGAAAGGCCTCTAGTATGTTGCATTTTTTTGACAAAAGAACACATTTAACAAAAAAAAAAAAAGACACTTTGCACTAATTTTAACCGTTTGGATAGCCTACCATTTTTCTCGTTTACAATGTGCTAACATTCAAACACAATGTGAGATTTGCAAAATCGTTTAATTTAATCTTAATGTAATTCAGTTTCTACCAACAAAAAAAAAATGCACTATTTGCACTCATTTTAACTGTTTAGATCCTGTTAGTTTTCTTTTTACAATGCGCTAATATTAAGCACAATATAGCTGCGCGCCATGAATAAAAATGTGAATGTTCTCTAGTGTCCTGAATAAGCCACTCATTTCATACAGTACTTTTACCTCAGTCGTCCGTGACAGGTGTTACTTTTGCACAAATGTAACGGCAATGCGTTTTCTCGCAAGGAGAACAAAGCATCTACCTCCGCACTGGCGTCCAAAAATATACCAGCTCTATGTTTAGGTGGTTTGAATTATTTCTGCCCTTTTCTGTTCTAATTAATTTTTTTCAAGGAGACGGTAGCGAGGAGAACTATTGATTTTTCACCTTTTTTTTTTTTTTGGCAGGCATTGTGCTTTTT